TCTAGGCAGAGCTCCCTTGGCAGCTCCCTACTGATGCCAAATCTTGATGCTGGGCCTGCCTAAGGGAATAGTTCTTTTTAAATAGCTTTACAGAAAAGAAGGAAGGAAGCCAAGCTTTGAAAGAAACTCAACTACCAAACTGTGGAGAGATGCTAAGGCAAGTATCTGTCTGGAGCAAATGTGTCCTAGAAAAAGTATGACTTTCAGCACTATCGAATTACTCTACCAATTACAAGGATATTTATACAATCAACACTGAAAAAATTGTTGTAGGTTTTTCTGGCTGTTTGGCTGTGTTCTGGAGGTTTTTCTTCCTAACATTTCGCCAGTCTCTGTGGCTGGCATCTTCAGAGGACAGGAGCTAGAACTTTGTCTGTGTTTTGGCATAGTGTGTGGGACAGTTGAGTATTTGTAGCCTTGAGTATTTGAAAGCCTTCAAAAATTGATTACCAGTGTGGATTCTGCAATTGTCATCTTCTGTACCTCATTTCCCTCACAACAAGCATGTACACTGTGCCTATAAAATTGTGGGTTATATATTGAACTCCGTGGCCTAAATCTTATTGGCAGTCCTGACTGGAGCAGATCCAGTGAATCCACAGGCTCTACATAAGTGTTCACTTACTGTTCAAAGGTTGATTCAATGGGTCTAGTTTAGCTGGGGCAAGCAATAGGAGTCTTATCTGTGTGCCTGAGGAAACAGATTGCAATTTTAAAAAAAGGACACTGAAACCGTTCTGTTTGTCTTGTCTTAAAGATGCTATAAGAACCTTGGATTTGACTACGCAACCAATTGTCCTGGCCTAGTCTGGCCTAAACTAGGCTAAATAGGGCCACTTTGAGGTGTGATATGTCACTTGGGACAATTCTTGCATCCACATGCAAGGATCAGCCACATCGCTCTTCATGGAACTCTGTTTTGCACATTCTTGACTGATCTTTCCCTTTAAAGGAAAGAAAATAAAATAGAAAATAAAATAAACCCCCCTCTTATCTCCTTCACATAAGCTACTTGAGAAACTGAAAACAGAAGGGAGGGGAGACAAAGCTTTCCACTTCTTTTTGCTGCCAGTTGACACAGGGCATCAAGAAAGCATTGAAAAGGCTTTTAAAATGCTCCTTTCAAAGCACTGCTGATGTGTTACCAACAATAAAAAAGAAACAAAAAACTTCCTCCCTCTCCTCCTATCTGCTGGGAAGCAAGAAGGGAGCTTTCCATTTCTCAAGATTGTTAAGTGGCTTAAGCTAAGGAACAGTTTAAACCACCCTCTTTGGTTGGAAACCAACAGACACACATGCTGGAACTGGACCAAAACAGACGAATCTTACCTGCACACACACACAAAAGAAAAACAACAACAAAAACCCCACTAGTCTCTGACAGAGACCCCAAAAAGTATATGTAGGAAACACACACACAAAAGAAAAACAACAACAAAAACCCCACTAGTTTCTGACAGAGACCCCAAAAAGTACATGTAGGAAAAGGAGCAAACCAACCTGGACCAAACTGCAAGGCAAATGTCTGCCTCTAGTCATACCCTTTCTTAGTTACCAGAGTAGTTTTAAAATCTTAAGATCATGGGGAAACTGTTGTTTATACATCACCTTTAAAGAATGATTCAAAGTTAATTCCAACTTGTGACCTCTAGCTGTCACAGCTACACATTCAGAGATGGGAAAAAGGCAGATTTTTAAGAGGATTAGTTTGAATGGAGGATGAAAGGGCTGGAGTAAAACCTGCCTTCAATGAAGAAAATAATGTAGAAGTCCTGTACAGGTTTTCTCGGGTCCATAGTCTCTCAGAGCCAAGCCCTGCAAGCAAGTTGCCCATGAAGGGACCATCTAAAGTCATCAAGAAGTATTCCCATTCTTTGTTAAAGGTATGATCAAGTCAACCACATTTACTACAGCATCATGCCATCTGTTGACGGAGGTGTTGCACTGGTAAAGTTTAGCCAGCCACTTGCTCAATCTGGCTGACACTTCCAGGTGCTGTGGACTAACCATGATCGTAGCCTCTCTATATTTTTTTTTCCTTCCATCTATGCAAATCTTTCTTCCTGCATAGCCTGGTTCCTATAGGGCCTGCACTTATTTGGTGAATTTCCTGCTTGGCTGTAAAGGTGAAACCAGCATTAAAATTCTGTTCCACTTGCAGGGGCGGGTTGGGATGGGGAAAGAGGGTCATCTGAGGTCTTGAAAAGTACAGTACATATTTAGAACAGAAATTGCTGGTGTTCACTGACCTGTTCCAAATTTGATGCTGAAGGTACAATAAAACCTGTACGCACATCCACAGAATAGTCTGACTCAAGGCTCCAGTAATTTTAGCTATAGTTCTGGTGGATGTAAGACACTGTAGCCTAGTGTCTTAGATCCACCAGAAAGGCTTTTTCTCATAACTCTAGCTGGTACTGCTGCCACTAATCGCCAAACTTTACTGTATTTCATACAATGACAAGCAAGCACATTTTTGGCTATTAAGGCATGACTCATCTGAACTATCTTTCAGGGCTGCTGCTTTAAACAAGACTTTGCATTTGGGCATGACTGCCTAGAACAGTGGTTCTTAACCTTTGTTACTCGGATGCTTTGAACTGCAACTCCCAGAAACCCCAGTCAGGACAGCTGGTGGTGAAGGCTTCTGGGAGTTGCAGTCCAAAACTCCTGAGTATCCCAAGGTTAAGAACCAGTGGCCTAGAACACAAAATACTTGCAAGGAGCATTTGCACATATGTATTTATAGCTGTTTGTCCCTTTAAAAATGCAATGCCAATAGGGTGCTGACCCTCTCCTGATCACTGCTTGTGTGTACTATAGATGGATAAAATGTTTGTATGGGTAATTAAAAATAATGATGTATCTTGCAGGTCTGATTTGCCTACACCTGTTTATCTCTTGATGGCTATACCACCAGGTGAAGACCGGAATGAATCAACAGGGCACCTCAGACATACATGCTGCAAACAGACCTTCCTTTTATACCACCTCACGTACCTGTAAAGGGCCAAATCCAATGGTCTGATCAAGGAAGTTAGCAAAACAAGCAGGTTTTTCAGCAAACCTTTTCCCCTCTACTCCCAGAAACCTCTGAAAACTCTTTTAAAGTTATTTTCAAAAAGTCATTTGTTCCATTTACTCCCTTACATTATAATAAGTACTTTGTTGTCATTACTCAGAAAAATGTTGAAAACATAACTTTTTAAGTTATTCACAACCTTTTCATTGTGGGTTTAAGCCCTTGGATTAATATGAAAATGACACAAAATTTGAAAACTTCTGCACAAAATGCCCAATGCCCTTCAATGCCCTTAAAGTGACTGTTTCTAGTTACTCATTATAGATACAGAGGAAAACATTTCCCATGCTGACCTAACCCTGATTTTTTTTTTCAGAGAGAGCGCAGTTCATTACAGATGACTATGTTACTTATAACTTGCTATGTCTAACCTCTACTTGGGGGTCTCTGTTGATGTGTTGAGTGAAGTAAGGCACAGGGAATGGAGGGGAATGGGGGGGCACTAGCAAAAGATCAGCTTGAATGAATTCAGTTTCACCGTCTTCCTCCCAAGACCCTTGAGCCCCATGTCCAGGGTCCCTAATCCCTGTGGGAGAATTTCATGGGGTGTGCTGTGGGTCTGCCAGGGAAAGAAAGTTGCCTGCCATTCAGTTGCCTTGCAGGGGAGTTTTCCAGATTCTTCCTAGAGATTTTCCATGGATTTTCCATACAGTTTATACACTGACCTATTACTTTTTTTATTATTGTTTTGATAACTTGGGTTAGGGTATGGGATGCAGAAGGTAAGAGGGAGTGTGAGGGGGGAAAGGGTTGGGGTTGAGGAGAAACAAAAATATGCTAACATCCAATCTATTCATACTGCAATATCAAAATTCAAACTCTGCTTTTCTATTTTTTGCCTTCCAGATTTTAGTTCACATTTTAATCTATGTTATTCAAGCCCGATCTAGTGACTCTAACCATTTGTAGAATAAGTCCCATCTTTCAGTTGCCTTTTGTGTAGGACAGTCCTTCATCACTTCTGATAGAATGTCCCTTTCTGCCCCTTCCCTTATCTTCTCACTAAGATCCTCTTGTTTCGGTACCACCAGACTTTTCCAATTTTTGGCATAAAGAATTCTGGCTGCAGTGACTATATATATATAACTAAACACTTCTTTGCTTTATCTATGTTATCTGGTATCATAATAGAAACAGTTATGGAGTTAATGGAACCTTACATAGCAATATTTGTTGTAACACAGTATGCACTCCTATCCAATAGTTTTGCTACTCTACAAGTCCACCACATATGATAATAACTTCCCATGTGTGCTTCACATTTCCAACAGGCATTTGATACATCTGTATAAATCTTCAACAATTTTTCTGGAGTCATATGCCACCTATAAAACATATTATATATGTTCTCCTTAAAATTAACCGATGTTGTAAGCTTTATATTATTTTGCCATATTTGCGACCATTGATCAATATCAATATTATGTCCTATATTTTGTGCCTACTTAATCATACATTCTTAAATCATCTCATCTTGCATTTTAATTTCTAGCAAATAATTATACATTTTCTCAATTATTTTATATTTTGAGCTTAATAAAAATTTGTCAAATGTCGTTTGTTCTGAGTAGAAACCCTCTATTTTGTCTTTTCTCTATCTGGATTCCAGCTGTTACACTGGGCTATTACTGATCCCACACTCACTAATACAGCTGAGAGAAGTCAAGCAATGTACATGCATGAAGCGAGGCCTAGAATGAAAACATGAACATGTAAACATATATATGCATGCAAGGAACAGAACGCAAAGAGAACAGGTACACCACAAAACTGCCAAATATAGAAAGATCCTGTTTTGGCTACTCACATTTTGTGTGTCTCGCCGCTAGTAAATCAAGCAGCTGGCTCATCATCCCACTCCATAATGCCACCAACCCCTTGCAACCCCCTCTCCCATCAGACTTGTGTAAGGAGTTACCTGTGGTGGGGTAACATAGTCAGCTGTGTCCATCACACGGTTGCTGTACTTGCCAAAGCCTTTCACTTTTGTGACCACAGAAGACTCAATGGACGTGTCCCTCATCTGATAGGCCTTTTCATGGAGGAACACCCACCTGTAACACAGAAAAGTATTAGCAGCTGCTCCAGCCTGCTTCCTCCCTCTGCGTCATGGTAGGGTCAGTCCTGCACAAATGTTTTCCCAGTTTAGGTATTTTATTCATATTTGCTTCTGATTATATATAAGTCACCGACCAATATATGAAGACTTCCAAAGAGTGTGCAACATTAATGAAGCCTACAATACAAGAGCAGTCAATAAAACCAAGGTACCATATTGACATTATCCATGGCCAAAATCCTTCTGGGGGAAAAAACAAACACATGCAGAAGAGCAATCATCCTTCTGGCTTGTCACCCACCACACAACCAAGCACATGGCGAGGCATAATACTGCTTCCTTGAATAGAGAAAGTAGAGGAGCTTGACGAACAATTGGCAGTGCAGCTTGCACAACCACCTATTTATGCTGTGCAATTCTAACAGGATCTTGGCCCATACAAAGCCAAGCCAAGCCAAGCCATTGTAAGTGAAGAGGGAGTTTTACCAGGTGCAATGTATTCAAATCTCAGCAAGGTTATTTATTTATTTAACTTATATGCCGCCCACACTACCCGAAGGTCTCTGGTTATGGTTAGAATAATTAAAATCTGCAGTCTAGACTTACACAAATTAGGTGACATTTTGTCCTATACAAACTCCCCGGGGTTCTGTTCACACCTAAATGTTGACATTCAGATTTTAGCAGATCATTGGCATCTAGCCTTTGAAGAAGACATAACTTATTGTCTGCCTTTTTCTTATTAATTTGTGGCTGCTGTATAGGTTGGGTGTGGGCTTTTGAAGATTTCAGATTCTCCTTTAACTGTTCCTGATATTGTCTCCTTTTCTATTTTGAGAGGTGTTTTTTTTACTGTTTTTAATATCTACCTTTTATGTATGGCATTGAGTGGCAATGTGATTTATTTATTTGTTGGTTGGTTATTTAAAATGTTACCTCACCCATATAGTGGCCAGGCTACTACTCTGGGCAGCTTACTTTTATATAAACTAAAAGTGGCACTCACTGACATTCATTCTTCTATGCAATGATTAAAGGAACAGAAACTTAACCTTCCTTTAAATCTAATCCACTTGATATTACTCTAATATACAGCCATTATCTTTACAAAAAAGGTACTGGTATGTTTAATATCTCATTCAATACAATTGTAGCACACACAGTACTTCACAGTCAGTACTGCTTTTAAATGTTTAAAGTTCTACACAAATGTTGCCTTGTCACAGCAACCTATGGTAGGGCAGTATTGTCATTCCTGTATTGTGGATGGGTTGCTAAGATTGAGGATGTAGTGATTTGAAGCAGGAATGGAGAAAATGTGTCCTTCCAGTTGTTTTCGTGTATGATTCAAAGCATGAACAAAGATGGGTTGGTAGGAATTAAGCTATACTCCAGAAATATCTGGAGTGCCAAAGGTCCCAACTCCCTGGGGAATTAATGTCTGACGCTGAAGCATGAGCCAAAAATGTCCCGAGTTGTAGAGGATGGCCCACCACATTTTGCCATCTGAGAAAAAGGACCACTGGCCCTCCCCTCCCCATCTTATGTACAAAAGTCTATTGGAGTGCTGGTTGAACCTTACTTCAGCCCTGGCAACTGGGCAGCGTCTTCCACTATTGGTGAAGGTACAAGTTTATCTTGAGGACACAAGCACATGCAAGTTTGTCCATTATCACCTCACTGTTTCTTGCTGTAACCCACCACACTCCTCTGCCACCAGTGCCTCCCCAGGCAGCTGCCTCACTCTGCCATATGCAGCACTCGCCTCTGGAACAACTTACCTCCTGAGATTCGTGCAGCTCCCTCGCTGGGTATTTTTAAGAAACAACTTAAAACATGCATGTTTAGGCAGGCCTTCCCCCTTTCCAGCTAATTCCTAATTATTCTTTTTTCTTTTTCTGCTACAATATACCCTGCTTCTCGCCATCTTTGGGAAAAAAATTATTTTTTAAATTTATACGAATTATGTTATGCGATATGTTATATGTTTAATTGTTTTATAGTGTGTGTTGTAAGTCACCTAGAGTGGTCACAATTGACTAGATAGGCGGGGTATAAAGGAAATAAATAAATATATATAAAAATAAATAAGTAGTTTGGCCTACCTAGAAGAAAATGTCTTCCAGAGAAATACATAGTATTCCCTGAAACCTATAAGGCAATAAGTGAAGGTTGGTCCAGATGGACAATATTGGAATATTCCTGTCTTGAACAAATAATTAGACAATTCTTTTGTCCATCACTTCTTGTTATGTGCTGCCCTCTAGTGCCCACACCTAGTTTAGCTTATTGCGGCCACAGAGTAGGCTCCAGGAGTGTAAATGAACTAGTGGTGTTGATTTCACCTGGAACAAGCAGAGATACAGACAGGAAAGGCAGAACTGCAACCTGCACACACTTACTTGAAGTAAATCTCACTGAATTCAATTAACCTTTTTCCTTAAAAAAAATCTGCAAAATGTAACATGTAATCTTAAAATGTAATCTTAAAATGTACCCAGGCTTCAAGACTTTCCTTCATTAGTCTGATTTCCTCCATACAACAGGCTGCCTACATGATCGCCCCAGCAATTCTTAGACAATATCTCTATCTTTTATAGAACATCAGAGATTTGTTCCTGCTTCAACCACATCCTTTGGTGAAAATGTTCCAATTGCCAATTAGCTCCTGTGTGAAATATTTGCACTGGATTGCCAGTCAGAGAACCTGATTCACACTGCTGGATCTCACTCAGGCACAGTTGATGCCGTTGGATCTGTGCTAGAAGGAATGCTTTGAACGTCACAAGGAAGAATAAAACCCTGGCAAAGTAGCAGGTGCCAACACATTCAAGGGTGGAAGGCACTAATGGATTAAATTGAATTACTTTTTGCCTCCAGCTTGTGCTTAGAACTTGGTAAAATGCTCATTGCTCACAGTGTTATGCCCACTTATCATTAAACTGAGCTATTGTTTCAGCCAGCGGTTCAGTTACTTTCCTCTATTAAATCAAAAGAGGTAAAAAATGTTACTCCATTTTGGTGTCTCCTCTCCTGCCGACTGCTAAAGAGTGGCCATTCCGTGATGATGATAAAGATTACTGTAACAAATAGTCAGATGTTATTTACTGTTTGCCTGGGATCCAGAATTCTTCTCTCTAGCATGAGCATTTCCTTCAAAGGATGTTGCATTTTCTCAGCACTCAAACCATCCTTGTTTTGTCATTGGGGAAAAGTGGTTTCCCCCCCCCACCTCCAGCTAGCACATCCGCTGCTAGCAATGTAAATGCTGTGTGGGAACAGCACCATTTCTCTTCCTCTGTGCCGATACTATTTAACAGCCTTTCATGTGCTCATCCAGACATGAAGAATGGCACTCCAATCCAGCTTTCTGCAAGGATTCCTCCTTTCTTGTGAAATCCGTTTGGTGGTTTCCAAGCATTTGTGTGAATTTTCTTCTCCATTTCTAAAAGGCTGAAATGCCTCCCCTAAGACTTAGTTACTGGTACTAAGAGCTTCAAGCTAAAAGGTGCAGGTATTTTGGCCCCATGCTTTCAGCCCGTCCTACAATTGAAAGGCACACCTCAATAATTTTTCTGTCACTGAATAAAAGCTCTTAGGCTGAAAGGATACCCCACCTTCACAAACCTGCTCTTTGTTACTAACCAATGCCACCAGTTCATTCAGCTATAAATTTATGGGATCCATTCTTTGGCTGCAATCCTACAACACTGCCAGTGCAAGGTCAGGCATGTACTCGTTGAAAAAAGGGCCCACATGCCAGAAAGATGACATCCTCCGGCAATGATATCTTTGCCACTTGTCTGTCTTACAAAGGTCATCAGAACATGTTTTTTAAAGCTGTGTTGGCTCAGAGTAAAACCCTGCCGAGCCCCAAACATCTGTTCATTCAGCCATCATCCAGTTGCTGCTGGCAAACACACAAGCACCTGTAAGGGCATTTTCCCTCTCCAGTGCAGCTGTCCTGACTTTCCCACCATTACCATCAGATGGCAATGTAGGGATGACACAGGATGCTCCTGATGCAGGATCAGAGCTTGCCTGAGTGTAGTGCTTTCACTTGCCTCCAGAATTAAATCCTCGATTTGCAGTCTCTGAATTTACATCTTTAGCATGGGATCAAGCATTTCGTTTTGCTTCGCTAGGAAAAGAAATCAACTTCTGTGAGCAGACAACATACTGTGAGGGCCTCACAAATACTGTGAGGGGCTCATCGATGGCACCCGGGCAGGCTGTCGGCCCCTATCCCAGGCCCCCAAGCAAGGTTCTCAGGCCCAGCTATTGCTGGATCCTAGACATGTATAGGTTAGGACTGACTGGCCCAGAAGGGGGAGGCGGCTGCCTCAGATGAGAGCCACGCTTCTGAGGATTGGGGGTAGGGGGTGGGAGAGATGGCTTTGCAGTGGGGGGGGCTATAAAGGAGGCCTTGGAAGAGGTTGGAGGTGGAATGGAGTGAAGACAAGGGAGACCCATACCCGGCTAGGGAGACTTTGGAGCAGGAGGAAGAAGGTGTTTGGAGCAACAACTGAGAGTGCAGAGGAGGTTTGGGAGGCAGAAGGAGACGGGGACTGCATCTGTCATGAGGACCCCTGGACAGTACCTCAGGGAGAAAGCAACCCCATCGAGAGACCTGACTCAGTCCACCACCTTCCGCCCTCTCACCAAGACTGTTGCCCACAATTTACATGGGCCAAGTGCATCCCACGCCCACCCGAAGGTGATGCTGGAGGTGGTAAAGGCAAAAGAAGTAGCGCCGGCAGTGGCAGCCACTGCAGTGACCAACCGCAGTGAACGTCAGCCATTCTCAGCTTCAGTCACACAGGGAGACATCCACTGAAGGCGGCCACACCGCCCAGGACAAACTGTGGCTTTGCAGGGGCAAGCGCTCTTAGCTTCGCCCCTGGGGACAGTGGCAGGAGTGTATTACGTGACACAAAAGTTTTTAAAATTATAACATTTTTGGTTACTACATGAGGGCTGGGCACCCTGTGACAGATCTCACACACCAGCTCCATGTGCCTATTTGAAGATCTATATAGAACCAACTGCTGTGTTTGTTTTCGATTATACACTCCTCTGAAAAGCACCGAGCACATGGATGGTGCTGCAGGAACAAAAATTCTGTGTGACTGGGAACCGTGAAACCAGGGCAGGCCTTACCATTAGGGAGAGCAAGGTAGCTGTTGCCTTAGGCAGCAGACTGCTTGTAATTAATTACTTAAAAAAAAAAGCTACAAGAAATGGGGAAAGGGCCTTGCAGTATGTTCTGCCTCAGACCCTGAAAAATAATTGAATTGGCTTGGCTCTGCACTCTGACTTGA